AAAGGTTGTGTTTCGACAAAAATCAAAATATTTGTTCTGTTTATAGCTATTTCATAAATATATTTTTCATTTTATGTTCTATACTATAAAATAAAAAAAATTGAAGTGAAAAGTTGTTTCAAAATGAAAATTCAAAACATTTCATTCTGAAAAGGTTGAAATGGAACATTCTGACCTTATCAAAATACTCTTTTACAATTTTCATTTCAAAATGAATTTTCATCAAAGGTGACATGTTTTCACGAAATGTTTCACTTTAGATGAATTGGCATTTTCTGAAACAGAAAAGAACAAAGCTTGACTTTCACATCCCAGTTCAGTGTTTGTAGGACAGATAGTTAGAACAAACATTTCTTTATTTGTGAACTGATCTGGAACTTGACAGACACACATACATTTAAGTTATTTTTCAGAACAAAATTATAACTTAAACTTTGTTAGCTCCTGATCTGCCAGAGCTAACCATGAATGCTGTTATATAGCTGGCAAGCTGTACCTCTGGTTTCCACTGCTCTCCTAGTCCATTTTAAGGATTTTAGGAGAACAGCCTTTGCCAATACTAAGCTTTCATCTACACCAGGGATCTGCAACCTTTGGCACATGGCTCACCAGGGTAAGCACCCTGGCGGGCTGGGCCAGTTTGTTTACCTGCCGCGTCCGCAAGTTCCTCACTGGCTGCGGTTCGCCGCTCCAGGCCAATGGGGGTTGCGGGAAGCGGTGCGGGCCGAGGAATGTGCTGGCCGCCACTTCCCGCAGCCCCCATTGGCCTGGGACGGCGAACTGCGGCCAGTGGGAGCCGTGATCCGCCGAACCTGCGGATGCGGCAGGTAAACAAACCAGCCCACCCCGCCAGGGTGCTTACCCTGGCAAGCCACGTGCCAAAGGTTGCCGATCTCTGGTCTAGCCAATCAGTCTAGATACTTTTAGTGACCTCATCACCATAATGTCTGAAGATGGAAGTAAGCCCTGTGCTGGGGCAAAATCTGAGGCAGGCATGGAGCTGGTTTGTGAACCCAGGCCTGCCAAGGGCCAGTTTGGGATCTGGCCCTGATTAGGGCTAACCTGAAGGTTGCCTTAACTTGGGCCCAGGGAAATAGTTGGGGCACAAGACTGCCTTGTCCAACACCCTCCCAATCTTGACCCAACCTGGAATGCCCCCTATCTCATGGGCTCTTGCAAGAGGAGAAGTCACAGAGCCAAGTCTCCTGCACCAGGTGTGTTGTGGGGAGGGTATGAAGGGATATATGGCTGCTTTGCACCCATGTAGGTGATGCAAAGTGGCCATAGGATAACTATGAAATGGGCTCTCTCTCTGGGTGACAACCAGTTATGTTTACACGGTACCAATGAGAAAGAGCAAATGGGCTTGAGCCTCCTCTTACACCAGTGTAATTCCATTGACTCCCATGGAGTTACTCTTGGTTTGCATTAGTCTGGGTGAGAAAAATCAGTGCCATTGAATTCAATAGCGCTGCCCTGGTTGATTTACTCTGATTCAGGATATTGGTCTGATATCCATTTATTGCCAATATTTCAAAAAGGCTGAATTAGCCAAGAAAGAGGATTTATGATTGTCCTTCTGCACCTTTATGATATCTGAAAATCAGCTTGCATGAAATCCTCAGAAAAATAAACCACACCTACAACAGTTGAATGCTGTAAGAGATTTCCTCATAGTTCAGCTTGAGTTTTACAACAATGGTTTGACTTATAATATTTATGTTGATATGACACTGTGCAATAAAGCATAACTAACTAGATTTACAGCCATGTACAAAGATGGTACAGCTGATGCTTTGTTTATCTGGGCTATCATTTGTATGGCCTGTAATATGCTAACAAGAGCAAATGATCACTATGAACACAGAGATATGACCATAGCACACAGAGGTATATTTGTGAGAGAGACCGTTGTTTATACCCATCCTGGGTTCCCCCAGCTCCCATCCTTCTTTTGCTTCACACAGACTGCTCAGAGACCTTCCCTTTTGTAGATCCCACCATGCAGTTTATTTACAGTGTTTCACTCCACCATCTTTTAAACACTAGTGCAGTCACAGTATTTACAATGTCATCCAACTTCACTACCCCTTCTCCAGAGGGCAGGTGGGATACAAAGGTATCTCCTCCAGAAGAACTCCGTTTTGTCATGTGGGACTGGGACTGGGCCAGCTACTGCTTCTCCCCCTGTCACTTCCTTCCTGTGCTCTTTTATCCACTCTCCTTGTTAATGGGCTAATTAGCTCATTAGCTTCCCAATCCCAATCTGATCTGGAAATCAGGAACGCCTCTCCTTAACCAGGCCCTCTCCTGAGGCCTAATTGGTTAATCAGGGACCAGAGCATGGGATCAGTTGCTGATTCCCAGCTCTCTGTCTCACAAGATGGTTGGGAAATTTCCAAGGCAATGGGGTTTCTTTTACCATCAGAAAATGCCAGTTCATTGAAATCAAAACTTTTAGCAGTAATGTAATAGTTTTGACAAAACTTTCATCAGAAAACTTTCCCAGGTCCGGATTTCAAAGAGAGAGAGCGAGAGAGAGAGACCCCAACATAGCCTCTAGTGCGGAGGGCTAGGGGCTATAGAGCCAGTCAGTCTCTTGCTCACCCCCCCCCCCGCCCCACTTGGAGCTGTTCACACTTTGTATAAATAATGAAATATTCATTGACTCCAGAGAGAGAGAGACTGACTCCTTACCCTGGTGTTTAGGACATCCAGCGGGGATGTAAGAGACCCAGATTCAAGTCCCTGCTCTAAATCAGGTAGAACAGGGACTTGTAAATAGGGCTCCCACACCACAGTTAAGTGCCTATATGTGCCTTAATCCTCAGGCTATTGGCTATTTGGAGGTGGGGCTGCTCTCATGTGCTCTTGCGTTTTTTCACCAAGAAAATTCAAAAGGTCTGGTTTTCTTCCAATGCAAAATGAAAACAATTTTCAAAACCTCACGATGTTTTGCAAAGTGGAATCCTTGTCTTTCAGCCAGCCCTAATCCTGAGTTTAGCTGACATAACTCCATGCACAGTGGAGCCTTGCAACCCAACCCCAACCGCAACCTAACTGGACCTGACTACAAATGTTGGGTTTGGGTTGGGCCAGGTCTGAAAACAACCCAACCCCCTTGGTTTGGGCTGTCTCTGATCACCTCCTTCTGTCCATGGGGTTGGCGTGGCGGTGACTGCATGCCCTACTTCTGCCAGCTGCTGCCACCTTGCTGTACTTGGTGTGCTGAGGCCCAAGCATGCCAATGAGTCGCAGCGCCTCCCACTTCCCAGCACACGCCATGCAATCAGGCGGTGGTGACTGGCAGGAGTGGGGCATGCTACATGCAGCTACTGCTGCATCAACCACATGGGCAGGAGGCAGTCGGGGACAGTTCACGGGCCCAGGGTGTGGGGAGTGGGAAGACCCCTTCAGGCTGAACCCCAAGAATGGGTCAGCAGCACTGACACAGTTTTGGGGGGAAGTGTTGGGTTTGGGTCAGGTCAGTTCTGAAAACAGCTCAACATGCTTGGGCTGGCTTCAGGTCTGCTGTGCTCAGCTTGGGTTCAGGTCCAGGTCATGCCTTAAAATTAGGCCCAAGCAGACCTCTAATGCATGCTCTCTGATAGCACTTTGCATACTCTAATCCCATTTAAGAATAAATTTCTGTGAAAAAAGTGTTTGTTTTGAAAGGTTTTCATCATAATTGAGTTTAAAAATATATATAAATACTATTTTTATGGATGGACATTGATATCCTTACACACATGCTCTGAGAGCACTTTCAAAATATAACCAACACTCAGCAGCCACTGAAAGCTTGGTTGGATTAAAAAATTATTGTAGAAATGCAGTATTATGGATTCAGTATTTTATTTTGTAGTGAACAGAGAGCGGGTTAAGAGTCTGTAACATGATATTGTGCTAGATGTTTGAACAGAGTCATGCTCAGTTAGTAATTAGATATGGGGAAATAGTGTAGGGAATTGTAGACAAACAGCCATTTCAGTGTCCTGCAAAAGACAATTGGGACCAGAAATGTCAGTTCAAGTTTTGAACAGTACCTAACTGACTAAGAGGCCTTGTGTAAGCTCCAAAGTTTGTCTCTCTCACCATCAGAAGTTGTTCCTGTAAAAGACATTACCTCACCCACCTTGTCTCTTTAGAATTCTACAGTCTAATTGAAAGTCAACTCTAGGCTCCTAAGTCACATAGGTATTGTTGAAAATGTTACCTGTTGATAATATCTTCTAGGAGTGAAGTAGAAAGCTCCATCTATTGCTAGTGAATCCATTCCACGGTGAGACACTCATTATTTGAAGCCTGCATGTGCAAACACTTCAAAGGAAAGTCCCACGGGCTAACACAATTTTGAATAGTTCAAAGAGGCCCTACTGTGCCAAATCTAAGGAAATCCATTCTGGTGACATGTAAACCATTAGAACACTCAACTAACTACTTTGGGGCTTCATACAGCTAGAAAGTAAGATCCTCATATAACCTGGTCATATTAAAGATTTAATTTGCAGGGTTGCAGTTATTAAAAACGTTTCTGTCTTTTCCTTTCTTTTGGGAAATGCGATACCAATATCTTTATCTGAATATGGAATGCTAGAAAACATCCTGGGAATGGAAAGGGCACTATTATTTCTCCTGGTGACCAAATGCTGTTGATGAAGGTGCATGGTGGTGAGCAGTCTCATTCTAAGGAGATATCTTGACTAGTGGTACTGTTGATCCTGAGGTTACCTGAGTATGGGGGAAAGGGAAGGTCTTTTACAGA